ATTTCACACAACGATGCTGTACCCTAATCCCAACCTTACATGAGATATTCCCGTGACGTGCCTGCCGAAGAAAGAATAATGTGAACTAGTGAACGTAGAGAAGGGAGCTTTTCTCTTATCTCTTCCGTTACAAAGCACCCTATCTCGTGGACGCACTCTTATACAACCAGACCAAAAGTATACCACCGGTCACGACTAATGAGTGAAATAATTTTTTTCTAGTATCAAGGTCTTTCGTAACTAATTTCCCAGCTCGCCCATTGAATTCCTTTCGTAACATTGATGGTTTTCGCTTCCGTCGCCCTCAAGCTCAATAACGTGAGGCATAAGGACGCGCTTGCGATATCTATATATTTCGGTGGCTGCGTTGGTATGCCTGGGGCCTCACCGAAGCTCTGTTTGCTCCTCGCTGACCTGCCCGTCAACTGTATCACTGTAGTGGCTAACAATGACGATTTCATTGCTGATTAATAGCTATTGTATGTTGAGTTAAAAAACAAAAGGAGGAAAAAAATCTGGTCGGTCTAGCCGAAGTTTCGTTGGAGCTCTGTTTGATCACATGGAAGCACTTCACCTAGTGCCAATCGTGCCGACGATGAATGGTGTGAAAGATCCGAAGATTACGGTAGCAGGCCCATTTTGCGATAACTGCGATTTCCATCCTTTCTGTGTCGGTTAATTGGTGCCAGACGTACACTCCTTATCCCTGAGACGGAGTAGGCGTGGCTTCTGAGCATGGCATAGGACGGGTTTCTCGTGGGATACTTCAATTTGAAACAACTGCTATCTTGTTCTGTGTTAGATGTAGACATGATTACGACTGCTCCAAAATGACAATATCTCACGAAAACCTGGGCCGCCGCCATTTTAAAATCAAGTACGCAGCCACGCCTACCCGATCTCAGGGATTTCGAGTATATTTGTAGAGATGAACGCCGCTGCATAGTAACTGACCCCCCTATTTGGAGTCAGAAAACAAATCCGAAGACTGTAGAACACCTATCAATTTATCGCATCTTTGAGACAAACTGTACACATACCTCCAAGGACGCTCCTCGCCATGCACGAGGCGAAGAAATCCGCAGTTAAAGCACTGTGCCACTTTCTCCGCTCGAAAAAGCACGGGAACGGGCCTGGAGAGTAATGGTACCCGGGTGCTGTCTATGGACTCCGCCCGCACTCTCCTCAACGTGTAGCCTCTGCTGCAGAATCCCTGCACGGAAGCGCTGACGGTGTTCATGAAAGCCACGCATCGTCACCTTCCAACCCGGTTCCCTTGCACATTCCGAATGGAGAAGTGGCTAGTGCAGCTGTAGATCCATTCACCTCGCACATGGCAGGGATCAGGAACCTCAGAAATGAGTGTGCATGGGGACAAATTTTAGCCAGTGCAGTGACTTGAAACATTTTGGACGACTGTGCCAGGCGCTTCCTTGCCAAGCGGGTGCAATATTTGTGTTAAGGTAGTGAAACTACCTCTGGAGATCATTTTCCAGACAAATCGAAGTTCTCATCTGGTTGAAGACCAGCTTTCCCATTTTCTATCCTCTTTTGGCAAACTAGTTAAGGCAGAATTACTATCCTCGAGAACAGAGGTTAACGCTCCTTGTTACCACTACCTCAACCAGAGTAGAATTCGCTGATACCCTCTGGAGCACTTATTTGGATTATTTGGGAATGAAGAAACGTCGTTTTGAAATATTGGAGTGATCTCTTTGATCTTCTTCAACAGAGTCGTCCGAGCCGCTGTTAGTATTTATTCATTGATTTTTC